CTTGGTCGTCATGAATAAATTTGTTCTGGACTGTGGGATTTCTATCTATTCTAGCAAGCGTAGGGGCTCTTTCGATTTCGACTACATGCTCTGGCACTGCTCGGCATTGGTCAGTGCAGATTCTCACGGGGAACAGTAGCGGCAGCGAATGCTGCGCAGTGGCGCGCTGGCAGACCAACTCAGGGCTTTCGAGCTGTCCCGTGTGGTGGCAGAAAGGCTTGGCTTCTCTGTCCCGACGTAGGAGCATCAGGCTTGTACTGATCCTCAGGATCCTATTAAAGTTCTTCAAACCATAAGAAAGACACGAAGCGCGTTGTATTTTCTTCTGGTCGGGCAGAGTAGCTCCATGGCTGCTGGATATTTATCCCGCAGCTTGGTAGTTCAATAACTCCAACATGCCGTATGCATCCTCCATCTGACAAGCTGGCTGCAGCACTACGAATGCTAGGCCAATTTTAACCAATCACGAGGGCGAGCGTCTCCGCGTTGTATTATTGCGCGCAATTTTGTAGTAGCTGTGGTGTAATCGATCGAGTGCCACTGTGCCCGCAGCGCGAAACGAATAAAGCCACATGGTGGGTTTATTTCCGCGCATCGTCAGGTCGCTACACAAACCATTAGACAGAAACACGAGAGAAGGGGTCAGTATACTGACATTCGCACGAACTAGACGCATTTCATAGCTCACGTTTCGCGCTTGTACGCATCTGAAAGAGACGCGTACATGTCGCAGAATCCTTACAAGTTTCCACAGAAGACTCACACTTCGCTATTTTTAGTGAACCATTTTTCGTAGTTCTCACCATTCATCTAAGTGTGATAATCGCCTGAGCTTTTTTTTTTGCGCGAAACACTTCACCTGCGCCTTCCACAAACCAATTTTCGTTCCCGCAGTGAGTCAGAATATGCCAACTGCCTTTTTTACTAGAAGTAATTAAAGACAAGTACACATCCCTGATCGACGCACTTCATGGACGTTATCTATGGTTTCATCAACCCACACTTGTCTACTCATGTGGCTAAGGTTGACCTATGTTTCGTCAGTGTAAAAGAGAGCCTACCTTAGCTTCAGAACTGGGCGATGTGATGCAGGTAGCGGCAGCAAGACTGGTTGCTCGGAAAATTTCGAGCTGAACGGTTGTGCCGCCTGCGACCTCCAACGCCAACGTAGGTTTCGTCAACTGGTTCAGCCTCCGCGACCTCCTAACGCCGTGACGCTCTCGCTGTGTAGTGCCCCGTCCTCGGACTTCTTCAACCGGCTCCCAACTTTCGGATCTCCTTTTTTTTCTGTCTCTTGCCAGTTCTATTTCTTTATCTATATCCGTCCACTACTCTTTTTATCCCTTCTCCCCTCCTCCCTAACAAGGCACTGAGCCGTGTCGCCCAAGAGGCCGACATAAATTAGGTGCTTTTTTTCTCTTCTGAAGAACCACTCCTTTATGTGTGTCGATTCTATGAGGAGTGCATTCCAAGACCACTTCTTATATCGGAAGCCGAGCTTCTTTAACATCTTGAACGTTGCTGCCGCTGACACAGATGACAGCTCATGGTCCTCTTAGAAGTCACGCGCAAGCTTTGTGATAGTGGGTATTTCATTTCTGCGAAAGAAACCGTCCACAGTCCTTTGCAACACTCCCAGGTCTACGTTGTCCAGCTTGTTGTGCTGGCGTCTTTTCCCATCTGCAATGCTTCTTCGGTGTCGAAACTATTCCCGCCTTTTCTTTAAGCAGTGGTCCTTAAGCCGTAGGTCGTGCATCCCCGATGTATGCAGTAGGTAGCCACCTCTCGCTTAAATATTGGATTGCACGCTAGATGAATGTACTTGTATATAATCAACATATGACGAAAGTATGCGAGAGGGTGGTACTTGGAATGTTCACTAGACGGACGGACATACAGACAAACAGACTGACAGACGACGGATGGACAGATCAATTCTCAGTTGGACGGACGGATGGATGCACCAACGGACGAATGGGCGTTTTCCCTACTCATCATTATTCAGTCCGTGGATATGCTGTGATATATGAGAGCCTCCACATCGCGTTTTACCTGCATTTGTTTGCTCGCATGCATTAAAGATTAAGTGATTTTTCGAGAATGCTAATAAATTGGAGCTCAATTATTGAATAGATTTCTGGCATGCTTTCAACATTATCTGTGATGGTGCAAAAAACTATTTATTCGGTGACGTAGGCGAAAGAAAAAAAAATATATCACTATACTAAATGAGATCCTCCAAATAATCGTAGCTAAAGACTTCTAGTTGGTCTTAAATTATAGGAGTATGCACGAGAGCACCCATTGTAGTAATTAGGCCTACAAAACTGCACGCCGAATGAACACACTATTTTGCAGTGCGCCGGGATACCACCTTCATGCACTCCGTAGCTTCCACTGTGCTGCAACCAGCTTGTGAGATGGAGTATAGGCGACTTTTGACCAAGCTCAGCATCCAATGAGTCACACTCTTCTGGCTGTGAGATTGCTTGTTCTGGTTCCGCTCTCAGCTTTAAATACTACAGTGACCACAAGAATCTATGACCTCAAGGTTTATTATTGATAGACATCAGTATTTGGTATGCATATGTATGACTAAGCGTCGGCATGAATGCACCCACGTCAAGTGATGCTGTATCTGTCAAACACCAATAGACATTTTGAGAGCTCTCTTATATCAATGTGCATTGAACTACTTCTGTAAGAACTCGTTTTACTTTTCTTTATTACCTACTTTTATGACAGGGGGATTAATAATATTTTGTTTTCAGAATGGTCGGAAAACGCTCCCGATCAGAAGTCAAAATTCCCTAGAACACGCAAGCAAAACAATAAAGCGTGACACGTGGCCTGTTCATAGCAAGTAATCCATAAATCCAGAACAAACTCCTTCACTCTTGTCTTTGAAAATGACGCCATGGCGCGGGAAAAATTGAAGTACATGATGATTGTCTGATTTGATCATCATTAGCTATATATGTTGGGTGTTTGAAGAATTGTGTCCACTATTATTGAAATGCTACGGAAAATAGGTACCGGCGTCTCACCTGCGGCATTCTCTTCACCGTGGCAGAAGGCATCTTCAGATGCGTACAAACATTAGTTACGGCAGCGATTACAGAAATTAGCACCATTAACTTCTTGCCTGTGGAATTAAGCGATCGCCTCAAATGGGTAGGTTGTAGTGTTTCTTGCAAATATTCCATAGAAACTTTCAAATTTTTGGGAAGCAGCCATTAATAATCACCGTGAGGCGATGAAATATTCCTGAATTAGCAGCTGAAAGCGAAATCGCCGCACCAAATAGCGCATCTGCCATTTCCGTCAGTAACGCTGTCAGTTACGACACTGTTGTTTCCGCATCAGGGGAGAAGGATAAACGAGCGTCGATAAGTGGCCATGCGACAGGAAAGTGCTGCCACGAAAACAAATATGTAGATTTCCGGTAGACAATGGTGAGGGAAACAGTGTCGTCATTGAGGACGTTTAGTTTAGTGTAATAAGTATTGATGTAATTCTTACGAACCTCTTGCAGTATTCCTCTCATAATATTTAGGTACGACCTTATAGGCCCATTTTATTGTAAACGTCATATGCTGCCAATGTAGTAGTCTTCAGGGACAAAATCATGCTGCCTAGACAGCTTTTAGCCCTGAAGACTATTCAGAATTTTCTGCTGAAATAGCTTTGAATTTTGACCGCTCCTCGCACACTTAAGTGAAACAATTAATTGACCAATATTTTTTACTGGCTGACGCCATTCATTTCAACGTCATATGTATATTGATGCCACGAGCATGCGTTATGAGACGCAAGCAGGCGTAGGGAGGGTGTAGACGACAGTGCCGACGCTGGATTTGCAAGTAGGTGTGACTATAAGACACCCCACATTTGATACTGTTTGTTTAATATTTATTAGACATTATACGTGTCACAGATGAAAACAGTTGAACGAGCGACTACTTTGTGAAGTACAGGGACTTCACACGCACACATTAAAATGCGGTTTAAAACGGTCTATGAAGACGAAATTAGCTTTGAGGGTAAAGTCACGCCCATTAACGATTTCCTTGGATAGAGTTTATACGCAAAAATTGAATGTACCTTTGTCTAGCATATTGATTTATTGATTGATATGTCGGGTTTAACGTCCCAATTCCACTATATGATTATGAGAGATGCCGCACTGGAGGGCTCTGAAAATTTCAACCTCCTGGGTTTGTTTAACGTGTACCCATGTTGCCTTCAAACTTTCCTCATTTTTCCTTCAAGCTTGCTTTCAACATTTCGTCGCGGGAGTATTTGTTGTTGTAAAATCGCTGTATCTTAAAACTGTGTGTGTGTATTCACCTATTTTTACTAACAGATGCACTCATATATGTGCCATAAAATATAGTTAATTACTGCGCTTGCACAACATTACACTATTACTCATATTGTGTCGTTGCGTGGTAATCTTGATTTTACATTTTTCATTTAGTCTGTCTCGTCCATAATTTTATTTGGGGTAAGGGCACAGGAACTAGTGCCCTCATAATGGCGATATAGTTGGGCTCTAACAAAAATCTAGCCTGTCAGAAACACAACTGTCTGCCGGGTTCTTTTACCTTTAGTTGTTTTGGTGTTTCAGTTTGTGAACAGCTATTCTGAACGGCAATCTAGCCAAGAGCTAAACGTAGCTCATAAGACTATGCCACAAACCCAGAAACACGGCGCTTATGTCGCAAAGGCTCCGTTTAAGATAGTCAAGCATACTAATGAAAACACCTAAAGGCAGTGCAAGCGAGCACATCTATAGTCTTTTTTTTCACCCTCTATGAAGAAAAGTATGCAAAACGTGTACTTCTCCTTCGTCTTGCGAACAGTGTTATTTTTTTTATTTTCTAAGCTGACTTTTAGACATCCTCGTCTATTGTGATCTTCGCCTTAGTGCTGTCCTGGCTTAAGTCTTTCAGTTAACACTGATTCAGTGTTCTAGAGGTCCATTTCATTTACCGCAGATGCACCGCGGTGTGCGCCCAACCAGCGGCACGAATACCACGCAGCCCTGCACCAGGCGGTACTGGTGCATTGTCGCGTGGAGGCTGAGCCTGCTGCCCCTACACTTTTTGGCTGGACATTCGCCGGTGGCCCGCACGAGCAGGCCCTGACGTTGCTCGACCACACTCGCTCAGCTAACGGGCTCGAGAGCCATATACGGTAAGACCGGTGAATTACCACAATTACCTCTACGACAAAGCACCTTTGTACTGGTGGCACCAAGACTGTAATCAGCGGAACTGAGTGGTGCTCCATAGCATACCAGTCAAGCCTATAGCTTGAAGGTATGCAGTTAAGCCTACATGTAGCATAGATATGGGGAGCCATGCCTGGGAAGGCCATTTTGACCCTATAAAAGCCCAGTTGTCTTAATTTATTTATCTTTGTTTTTATTTTCTTTCAGGTGTGCAAGCATCACCTGGTCCCTCTTTCCTCCTTGCTCTATCTATTCTTTTCTCCTTTTCTCCTCCCCTAGTGCTGGGTAGCAAACCAGGTACAACCTAGCTAACCTCCCTGTTTTTTTGCCTCTCTATCTCTATTTTGAGGTAATATCTCTTTTTTTCTTCCCCCTGTACAACGTAGCAAGCCGGACGCGCGTCTCGTTGAACTCCCGGTCTTTCGTTCCTTCCCTACTTCCTCCTTATTTTACACTATTTCTCTTTCTCGTTCGTTCCACCCCTCACCCCTTTTCCTTCCTCTATAGCCCAACAGCAACACAATGAGTTTTCGTCTAGACACTTGTTTGTCTAGCGTGCCTGCATAGCCGATTAGTTGCGACGCTCACCTTCAGGGCTTGGATACCAGGTTTCCAATCCCACATCGCCAATAGATTTTAGTTTCCTTCTTTTTTGCTGTTTATCTGCGTTTCTATTTCTTTTGGGTATATTTCTGTCTATCATTTTTTCGTTCTCTCACCCATTTTAACGCCATCAAAATCTTACGTGGAAGTAAGAGCACTCACCACGTACGAAATAAAAACCGCCAGAAAGGTCTAGTGGTGACTGCCGACCTACAGGTCAAGGGATTAAAACGGGGTGGTGGTCACCGCAGTATTGGTGGAAGCTGAAATGCTCGAGACCCACGTACGTGGATTTATGAGCAAGCTAATGAATCCCTGGTGGCCGAAATTGGTAGAACACTCTACTACACTGTGTCTCATAATCGAATGGTGGTTTGGGACGTTAAATCACAGCTATTATAACATATTATCAGAAAAAATCACAGCTCAGCTCAGGCTAGAAGTCCTCGTTATGACCTTTCTTCAAAACGCATTTCAATTTATATTAGACCATGTATTGTAGTCGTTAGTAAATGCCATGCACGAAATTTGAATAAGTGTGAGCGTCGCCTTGAACAGCCGATGAGAATTGCGTAATCCGGGCATATGCACACCACCGTCTCAAATGCTAGCCTTAATTCAGAAAACGAACATCTGTTTTTCAAAGCATACTAGAACGCATACTAGAACCAGGCTTCATCTATGCCTGGACGGGAAATACACAGTTTGTCCTTTACTACCCGGGATATCATAGCCTATACTCTGTCGCGATCTGCGCGTGGTCTCCTTGTGTCTTTAGACCAAGAGAAAGCATTTGACCGACTAGAGCACACGTATATCTTTAAAGTGCTCACAGCCCTTGGTTTTCCTGGTACTTTTGTTGAATTAATTAGACATACCTACTCTGGTATAAAAAGCACACTAGTTCTAGATGGTTGGGAGAGTGCTGCCTTTTATATTACACGTGGGGTCCGTCAAGGATGCCGCTTGTCTCCTGTTGTATTTGTCCTCAGCCTTGAGCCATTTTTGTGTGCTCTAGAAGCAGATTCGCATGTCCGGGGTCTTGCGCTTCCCGGCAGCAGTACCGTAAAAGTCACAACTTTTGCTGACGACATAACCCTGTTCCTTTCAGATGAAGATAGTCTTTCTCATAGCCTGCGTTTATTCTTCTAGTATGGGGACAGTTCAGGTGCCGCGCTAAACCTCTTTAAATCCCGGTATTTGTTCATCGGCTATCCCAACTCCACACTTAGGTCCACATCTCTTCTTCAGCCGGCTGCGTCTCTTCGCATTTTAGGAATTCTATACAACCACTACGGCATTTGTTACTCCGTTTGGTCAAACGCCCTCGATGGAGTAAAACAAGAAATTGAGAACGCCGGAGAATTCGACTTCCCGCTTCTTGAGCGGAGGTACCTTGCGCAGACTGTGTTCTGCGGTCGCAGTTGGTACAATTCCCACGTGGAACAGCCGCCTTTACGCATCGTGAGGACATTGCAGTCTGCCTTGTGTTCCTTCTTTTGGTCTGGCGGCACTGAGTTGGTTTCTCGTGCGGCGTTAGGACAGCAGCGTTCCCAGGGAGGTTTTGCTTTCCGTTCGGTATCAATACGCTGCCGGCTATTGGCCGTGCGCTTCCTGTTACGCCTCGTACAAGGAGAGGAATCCCCCGCGCGAACTCTGGCATATTATTTTCTAGGCACTCACCTTCGGTATTTATTGCCTAATGTGCGCCTTAATCAGAGCCCACAATCATTAGTACTTCCTTCGTTTTATGGAACAGCTGTCGCGTTTTTTCGTCTTATCCAGTCGACTTGCCCTCATTTAGATGTGTTAGACAATTCTATCGTTGACACAACAGCCACGTTGTTGCTCCCGTTAATTCCTCCAGCACGCCGCACCCGCTCTAGTCGTGTGTCTTGGAGCACACTGACGGCATCATTTCTACCTGGCCACCTCCGGGACTTCATGTGGCGGCTTGGGTGGGGCGTTCTTCCTACCCTTGACCGCCTAGAAAGGTGGAGAATGGTACAGTCATCAACATGTCCGAACTGCGCCCTACGGGAAACAAATCAGCATGTGTTAAGGCAATGTGTCGTTGCTCGTGTTTTCTGGAGGGCTGTGCATGCAGAATTTCGTGGCCTCGGAGTAAACCACTTTGTTTCTTCTGGACGTTGTTCTCGAGGCCACTTTGCTTGCCTTCTTATTGTTGCTGGTGCCTACTCTCTTTGGCGTAACCGTTGTGAAGCTGTTGCAGCAGGTCGTCGCCGCCGTGCTCTATTCCCGATTTTGGAGCGACTGTACAAAGAAATACTATCTGTGTTGTCGGAAGAACTTTTCTTTCTGGGTGAGGAGGAATTCCTTCAACACTGGTCCTGCCGTTTTGTGTTCGTCTGTGAGAGACGTGTAAGGCTTGTTTTCAGGCCTGCCTGGTATTGGTAGGTTAATCTTTTTTTAGTACTCATACAAATACCTTGTAAATACTATGTAAATATCTGACATATATATCTCTACATTTCATTTGTGTATTCTTCGTTTACCATGTATTGTGCATATGTAGACATTGTTTTTGTAACAATTCCTGTGTAGTTGGGTAAGTTGTGTATGTTGTGTTCCATTTACATATGTACACATATCTTTTTGTAACAACTTTTAGTGTGTCTGTGGATGGTGTGTTCTGTCGCAATGTTCTATTGGATTGTAATTGATGTTCACTGTCTGTGAGAATAAATTTCTCTAAACACAGAAAGTACATTTGGAGTGGTCAACTCGAATCCTACGAGACGGGAGTTGGTTGGTTGGTTGGTTGTTCCTCAAAGTCCTGGTGCAGAGCCCACTACGCTACATCTTTCTTTTGCGAATCAGCAAAGGCCCCACTATATAAGATTGCACAAGGCAACACGTGAACCCACGCAGCGGCTCACTTTGTTTACGCTTTTGAAGGCGATAGTCTTGTTGGAATATTTACGCAAAACTTTTGGTGTATCTGTCGGTCAGCCTGTAGGTGTCTGTCCACCGATTCAGCCACCCGGCAAAAGTCTTACTACGTTGATGTTTTTATAGACGGTTGTCTTTCTTCGGATACATTACGCAGAAATTTTCTTCTGACTGTTTGTTGGTGTCTCTCCAAAGATTCAGCCACCTGGCGAAAGATTATGCCCATGATGAATCCCATTCATCTTGATCTGGTAGGAGCGTTTATGCTTGCAAACAATGTCATTCAAGAAGCAAATATTACTAATACTTCTGGCGTAACATCAGTACTAAAGATTACCTAGTGTGTTTTTTTATTTAGGAAATGCATATATACTTAAGTCTAAATATCGAAGTGTTTATGAATCTCCACTGACAATGTGACGCTATGAACGAAAAAGGTGTTTCCTACGCTTGGCTAGAACAGCTAAAACGACACGTGACTGCCACGTACCAGTAGCTCTCCGTTCTAAATGTTTCGTTCCTTCACGTTACTGCCAGATGAAGCCATATTTCACGCAGGACTCACTGATATTTTAACTCAGGGCGTGAAATACGCGCTTTATTTCCTCTCTAAGACAGTATTGTCTTTTGATGTCTTTTTCAGAGCAGCACGCAGATACACGGCAATTTTTTTCTCATCGTTGTATTACCATTTCTTAATGTTCAGTCTAGGGTAAACAACCGAAAGTGACCATAGTTGAGCATCGTATTCAACTGCACCCTTTCCATGTGTACTGGGTTATGTCTTTCTTCTCGCTCCTAAATTCAGCGTTGAAACCAGCAGACACCACAACGGCAGAAGATGCAGACAATGCGCCGAGGGTTGACAGCACGAAGCTATAAAAGGCAAAAAGGTTTTGTAGAACGCAGCACTTCACATCTCTTGATCCCTTGTGTCGACTACTCAAAGCGCTTCTATGTAAATAAATCTGTCGTTCGTACCAGCACTTCTTCTCTCTGAATTGTTGGAGGATGTATCCTGCGATGGGAGCCAGATATCAATAATGATACCTGCAGGAGCCGTAGTCACAAGAGCAGCCAATAGCATCGCATGCGTTATCAAGGAACAACTTTGCAAAAGTGCAAAGGAAGGTATCAAGTTCAGAGCTGTTTCGCGTCTGAGTAAAAGGTAAAACGGTCAGTACCAGTAGCGTTGTGCCGCGAAAATTTGTACGCGAGCAAGCCCCAGTCATGTTGGTCGGCTGACACAGGTTTCGCAAGAATAACTGTCAGGGCCTGGTTGCTCTGAATTTGCATTGGTGCTGAAGAGTTGATTGAAGTGGGCCATAACGAGAGAAGATACGAGCTTCGAGAAAGATGCTTCTTGCGAGAAATCTGAGTCTTGCTTCGGGTCGAGTCTTGCTTTTGCAAGTCTGTGAGAGGCGCAGTAGTTTTCGCGAAGATTTATTCTGATAGGATAGCAATAGCATGGGCGCTCTCGACGTGTTTTTCTTCGCCATCGCCGCCATGTTTTGTACAGAGTATAAATCGATAACATCGCCCAAGAAACCAACGTTCTATCCGCTACTAAAAGCACGAGCGAGGTCTAGCACGCGGCTGAAGCATAGATAAAAGGAGCTGGTCTATCTCAGTCTCCTAGAGAGCGCATGCAATAACGTATCCCTGCGAGCGAGGTGTGCCGTCAAATGCTGCTCAAGGAGAAAGAAAACAGCCCTCCCGTCTTTGCGCAGCGTGAAGAGAAGAAGAGGAGTGCGACGCCTTAGCAGCATGTGGATTTTTTTAGGTTGAATAGCGTTGTGGGATCACACGCAACAAAAAAAACAAAAAATGGCCCTGAATATGCATGTTACACTGCAAATTTCGTTGAAAGACGATAGTCTTGCGTCTGGAGAGAGTGAACAAAACGTTTGTTTTGATTTTATGTGCAAGAAAATTGATTAATGGTATTCTGGATGCGCGGCAATAGAGTGCCTCGATCGTGTAGCCGAGGCGAACGAGCACATCGAGGCACGTTAGACACGAGCACCATCTGGCAGTTATCTTCAAGAACGAAGGCGTGCGCGCCTGCGGAGAAAGATGCGCGCTTGTCTCGGAGGTGATAAGGTGTAGAACGCAAAACCACGGGCAGGTGGCACCACCGTGTCATGGTAGCAAAGCGTTGGAAACACGTTTTTGAGCATCGCGTTGCACTGTCAGTGCAGCCTGATAAACGCTACAGTTTTTGTGTGCCTCTTCAAGTATACAGGCAAACATACAAAACATCGACGTGCTGTTATGGCGCATTAGATATGCGCAATAATTGCTTTTTAATTGACAATCGCACCACTATGAACGCTGAAGCTTGAGCAATATTAGTGGGCGCTGCGGATGGGGTCGGCCGTTTAGAACCATTTGAGGCATCGGTAAGGGGGGACAAACACACAAATGTACAGACAGAGCAAATTTTTTTTTCGTCTATCGTCTTTGAAAAAGGGCTCTTAACAACTTGCCTAATTTTCCACGCTGATATGTTTGAAGTTTGTTGTAAAAGCACGGTCACGATTACTGGCACGCGCCTTTTTTGTTGTGTCTTTGTGCTGTAGTGCATGGCAGTTTCCTACGCCATACGTATTATTGCGTGCTCAACTCATTAATAAATATTTCATAGAACAGACAAGCATACATTCAGCGACTAAATGAACTAATGGCTGAATAATTGAACCACGTGAACACGCAGCTACGTGCCCCGCAGTGAGCTGGACTACGGCACGCTCGCCTGCCTGGCTAGCAACCCTGTGGGCGTGGCAGCGACCCCTTGCTTCTTCTCGGTGCTTGCACCGGCGCCAAAGTGCAGTGTAGTCCATCCGGGTCCTCGGCTCGCCTGCATCACAGCGTCACCACTCGTCAACGGTGCCTCCCTTGTCGTCCAGCTAAAAGACCCACAAGGAGTGCTCCGGGCTTCTCTCAGATCAGCGCAGCCCGTGATTCTGGTAGTATGCCGTTCTGAGAATAATTAGTGTTGCCCGTTTTGTTAACACGGGAGAGTTTTATGCCGGGGACCACCAAAACTTCTCTGACATATTTCCGTCACGTATATGTCATTGTTAGAGTTTACATGACCAGAATTCAAAGATATAAACCAGAAGAAAAAAAGAAAAAGAAGTAGCGGAGCGGTAACAGGTAGTGTTCAACGAGTGAGCTCCCAGTGAAAAGAGAGGAAGCGCGCCAAACGCCAGTGTTGATGATGACGACGACGATGATGACGATTTGTGGCTTTGCCCTTTTTTAACGGGTGATCACATATAATGTGTTATAGCCTGTAGTACTGCATTGAGGCGCGGCCCTCTAACGGTCACCTATTCAAATAGAGCACGCGATGCCGAGCATGCCGAGTGTGCGGGCGCAACAGCGGCGTACCGTTTGCGTGACTCCATGGAGAGAGCGCAGCTAGAGTAGAGTGTACTAGAAGTGTTGGTACACTGTAGCTAGAGTGTACTCCATAGCAGCTGCGGGTGTACAAATAGAGTGTATTGATGTGCTCTTTCAGGCTGAAGACAACCGCGTTGTCTGATACAGCGGTAGACATTACTGATGCCAATCGTCAATGCACGCACTAGTACGCGCGGCTTCACAGCCTTTAGTAAAAACACTTTGTGCTGGGCATGCCTTAGCAAACGCAAAAACATTCGTAGATGTTGCCAGTTATCGGTTTGCAGGGCCGAATCACAACAAATAATTAAAAGTTGCCCGCCTAAAGGCATTGCAGAACGTAATGACCCTTACTGCTGGCGTGGCTTCTGGGATCCTGGCTGTGGCTGAGCGGGGCGCAGCTTTTTAATTCCTGAACTGCAGACAACCCTATTCTGTTTTATACTTGGTGGGTGTGTATGTAAGTGTGGTTATTTATTTATCTTACACAACATACCCGCCAAAATTACCAACACTTATCTGCAGTGATAGATTTGCTGACGTAAGAGCTCTAAGGTTTACTCAGTGTTTAGCTAAATTTTGAAACGATTAGGATTCGCGCGAAGGTTTCGTGGCTGCTTTTTTTGTATGATTGATTGCCGGATACATTTGTCTTCGTGTCATCCTATTGAATGCCTATTTAAAATATGGCTCAGTTCTCATTTATTGGTAATACAAGTGAAAGTGTGGTAAGCATAAAAATGTCGTTTGGCAATTGAATTGGAAACTGCTATACTCATGCGTTACTTGAATATTTAGGAGCGAAAATTCTTGAACGCTTATGATGTTTGTTGTCGTCATCGTAGCCCCCGTCGGACCAGAACAGAAGTTGCAGTATGTACAGTAGCGGCCAAGTCTGTGTAGAGCACGTGAGCATCCGGTTTTCGCTCTGCGCGGCAAAACCTTGGGGCAGTATCGGGCTCTGACATGCTCAGCCTGACAACTATGTCACGCGTGCTCCTGTTATACAACTCCAGAGCCCAAAACTTCCTCAAGATTTTGACCAGCAGAGCAAAAAGCGGCTTCTCGCGCGCTATACACAGAAGTGGCCATGGCTGTGCAGTACATAGAGCGTTGATAGCACACACACGGCTTGAAGATAGATTGTACTTTGTACATTCATCCGTGCATCCATCGTTCCGTGTATCTCTCCGTCCTACGTTTCGTGCACGCATCTTATCATCCATCCATACGTGCGTTAGTCTGCTCGTGTATCTGTCCACCCATCCGTGCATCTGTCAATGAGCCCATGCTTGCATCCGACTATCCGTGCGCGCGTCCGTCCGTCAACCAGCGTATCTAATTGTCCACCTGTCCATCCACCCGTCCGACCACGCGTGCGTCCATTCGTCCATCCAATCATGAATTTCTCCGTGTATCTGTCCTTCCATCCATGCATCCATCTATCAGCATATTTGACCGTCAGACCGCGCGTTCTTCCAACCATCTGTCCATTCTTCATACTAGTCGGTGACTTCGACGTAGGCATTGTGTACCTTAGAAGGGATCTGTTCGGTCGCTGTTTTTGTGCACTGTTCAATTTCTGCTCTTTCCTTGGACTATTACGCTGACATCCATGTCTTCGCGGTGTGCCAACAAGACGTCGGGTGAAGAGTTCGAGGGCTCGGCGCCCTACAGGTACGAGGTTCCTTTATCAAAGACTTGGCAAGTACGCGATCACTACGGTGGTTGGTAGCCATCGCCACATGCCTTATGCTCGTCCAAGTGCGTTAAACCACATGAGTGATACTGCAGGACACAATGAAAAGCCTGGGGGCTTACAGGTGCACCCAAGCATCATAAAGCCGGACAGTTTGCTCATTCACAACCGCGAAATGGCTGAAGCGAGAACAGCAGCAATGGAAGACTATGAAGCTGAGAGCAAGAAGCTTCGCTTAGAAGAGAATCCTTTCGACGATAAAACGTCAACCTATTACCTAAGTGATGAAGAAAACATGGGCGAAGATGAACCATTTACGTTGGTTAGTTATAAAAAGAAACGAGCAGAGGGTATCCCAGTCGTCTTTCGTCCAACAGCTGAAGGTGCTAGCTTCTGGAAAGTGAACCCCAATAGAGTGTCAGCCGAAGTAGTTTTCGCTGCTAAAGAAAAAGTGCAGTCATTCAGAACGACCAGAGATGGAAGCTTCAGTGTCAGCGTTGCTTCCTTAAGTTCATCCAAGCGTCTTCTGATGCTTTCGAATGTAGCTGGCCTGGAAGTTAAGCCTTTCATCCCAGCGTCATACACTCGGAACGTTGGGAAAGTAAAACATGTTCCTCTGCAGTATTCAGATGAACAACTCCTAGAGTACTTAAGAGATGCAGGGGTTATATCGGCGCGACGGCAAATAAAATACTACCGCCAGGAAGATGGAGGAGTAACGTCGCCTCCACTTCACTCAGTGATTCTGACTTTTCGAGATGACCACCCAATTCCAGGAAGAATCTACTTAGGATTCACCAGTCACCCAGTGGAAAAATATCTTGGTCCAGCACTTCGGTGCTATAACTGCCAGCGATTCGGACACATGGCGAAAAGTTGCCGTAACACACGCCGGCGTAAGATCTGCTCAGAAGAACACCATCATAAGGAATGCAAGTCAGTTCTGTACATGCCAATGGCTGCTAATGGAAAATGAGAGGCAGGAGAATTCGGCTTTTACTTTCTTATGGCTTGCGCTTCGTATCTACTTTCCACATTTAACCACGTCGAGTTCAAGGTATATACTAGTTAATTGTAGTCATGGTAGTCATGGCACTGCGGCCGCCTCCCCGGGGATGCGTTCTACCGTTGAAGGGGATAACTGGGAAATTCTTACAACATATAACGAGCACACTAAATATTTCTACCTGTCTAGAAGAATTTTCCCTCCACCTCACAAAAATCTAACCCGGCCCCAAGCACTTACATTAGGGCTTTTGCAAACGCGGATGTACCCTACTTTGAAAATGTTACACATCATGTACCCTGACCTGTACCCAAGTAATCTTTGTCCACATTGTGGGGAAATAGCTTCATTAGAAGACATGCTCTGACAGTGCACCCAATTCGCTCATATATCGAACATCACCTCTGCCAGATGGGAGGCGGCAATCCGCAGCTCATCCTTGGCAGATCAGCTCTGGGCTGTCCACCAAGCCCGCGAGGCGGCTGAGGAGCTTGGCATCTCAGTCCCCACGTGGAAGCTGCCCGCAACACAGTGATCTGTGTTTTGGAGGACCAAATAAAAGTTTATCCAATCCAATCCAATGGCACTGCGGCTCAACGCTCGCTAAACCTTTCTAAAACTAAGGAGGTTACACCCAGCGAGTATAACCTAGCAACCGTTTCTTGTAAGATAGTGCTCAATGTACATGCCAATCACTGCTAATGGGGATCGCAGCGTGCGCGTCAACTAAAAGCCGAATGCTCCTGTCTCTCATTCCCCATTAGCAGCCATTGGCATGTACGTTGAGCACTATTTTTTATTGTTCGACAACGCACAGAAGGAATCTCTCACCGGCACCACCTTCGAAGACAAAATGTTATACTTGTTACATAATACAACGGCTACGAGGGACGAACGGTTGCCGTGAACGGTTGCCGAAAGGTGGGAAGTAGATACGAAGCGCAAGCCGTAAGAAAGTAACAGCCGAATTCTCCTGTCTCTCATTTCCCATTAGCAGCCTTTGGCATAAACATTGAGCACTATCTGACAGGAAAAGGTTGCTACGTTATACTCGCTGGGCGTAACCTCCTTGGTTTTAGAAAGGTTTAGCGAGCGTTGGGCCGCAGTGCCATGAATACAGAGAACTAGTATATACCATGAACTCGAGGTGGGTAAAGGCGGGAAGTAGACCCGAAGCGCAAGCCGTAAGAAAGTGTGCGTGTGCCACCTCTCGTTTTGTTCTTGGAATGTCCACTGGATGGCGGTGCTTCTATAAGGGGAATATATGATAAAAATATGCGAGATGGTGGTACTTGGAGTGTTGAAAAGATGGACGAACGGACACACAGACAGATACATAGATGGACGCATGAATGGACGCAGGGGCGGATGCATGGACGAACGCAGGGACGGACGCCCGAACAGACGCACGCACGGACGGGTGGATGGACGCATGGACAATCACACAGACGGAAGCATGGACGAACGGAAGCAAGAACGAATGGACGGACGAATGCTTTGCCCCACTCTCCATCATTCACTTCGTGGATATGCTGCCAATTTTTTTGTGCTGCCGTATACTGGATCGATAAGTTTTCCTTTACTAAATGCTTTGGCCAACTAAATGACAATTTGGCCCACTGTCTGACCAACAACCAAAGTAACTAACTAGCCAAGTAAGTGACTTTGTATAAGACGAAATTCAAACGTTCTGTGTAACTAGAATTAGCATAGAGTAAGATATTAATGGCGCGTAGAACTTACACGTATTATTCGTGTGTTATCTCGTGAGTGTACATGCTGTAAACACGTATAGTTAGGCGTAAGCAGCAGCCGAAGCAACGGAACCATCTACCGCTTCTCGTTGGCCGCGAATAAATCTAATAACATATATGTTAGTTTCGCGGAAACCTTTTGTTCAGCATCCCAGTTTTATCAATTTGAGCAGCACAGCACACCAAAATATCTTGGAATCGCCGTTGCTATCAGGAGCCACACAACGAAATGTACTCTTCGAAAGTGCACATGTGAAGGACGCCAAGCCTTCAACACGGCGGAAATACTTAAGGTGGCCGCTAGATGGCAACAAACTTCACATAAGGTCTATACTTTCCTTGGCATCACTATGTGTTATTTCTCATTATTATTGTGTCTAACAAACAAAACAAGCCCTTAAATTTACACCCTTTTCGTATAGTCCGTGAAATAAAAAGCACTTTACGAGCTTCATTGTTCATTGGCTAGGCGTCGTGATACTGAAAACTCAATTGTGTGTGAGCAAAACTGAAAAAAATCATCCATTTTATTTTATTGCTTTGCATTACATTCGTTCGACAACGACTTGTTCCTTAATTGTCTAAGAGGATTCGTTAAAGATGTCTTGGGCGTCCGCTACACAGGTTAACGGCATTTTACTGCCAAACAAAAGGCTTCGGATTCCAGCATTGGACTTTATCGCCTCACTTTGATAAGGCTAGATAACCAAATTATTCGTGCATTCTGCCCTAAGTGCATGTTGGTGTACCCAAGGTGGTATATGGATTCGGGCGACTATATTTTGGCTCCCCGAGTTACGCAAGAGCTTTTTTGTAGCGTTATTTTGAAATGCAGGTTACATAACAAAGTTATTTTTTGTCTTCTCACGCAGCTAAAGGGTCCTGTGTTTCGTCACCACCTGCTGGCCACTGTTTTCATGGTGAGCCATTCGGGACAGCAAAGCTCAGCGTCGATTCCGATTCACTTGGCCCCGAAGAGACTTCAGGAGGACAACGCAAACGCAGGGTGCAACGAAGCTTCAGCCTCATGGCTGGGCTGGACACTGACGATTCACTTCGCGATGATTCGGAACCTCAACTACTAGGCTATAAAGATGCGTCATTAGAGATATGCGGAGGCTCATGCACGCCTAACAGCGATGTTGGAGTGTTTTAGTGCCAGGTACCCCAAATCATTGGCTCACCGTGTTTTTTTTTAATTTTTTGTTCTTTTGTTATCTGCCCGGTGTTTTATCTCACCGGGCACACCCAAGGAGTGTACAACAGAATCTAAGAGCTTGCCTTCCTAAGCCGCTTGAATACTCAGGCACTAATACTCTTCGTTAGGGAATTTTTGTATTGCGTACGGATTGTTTATTACGGTGTTGCTTTAGTTATACGTCACAATACGCATAAAGCGCGTGAGCTGAGCTTCTTCTCATAGGCTCTGCGACAAACTGATTTCATAAAGTAGGCAACTCTGTTACGGAGGACAGATTCTGGGTATTGAAACTTGCTATTGTGTAGGAGGAGGTCAAGACCGTTACGGGCACAATGGTCCCAGAGAGCCCCGGAAGTGTGAAAACGTCGCTGCGTGTGTTTCTATTTTTATACAGAATGTTGGACTGTTGCACAATTGAATAAATACTTTTAAAGTAAAACAGCTTTTTGATCTGCACCTGCCTGGGATATGCGGGAGCACCTCTATTTGAAAAAAATACTCCAGGTGAGTATGTCCCTACGCATTTGGGAGAGTGCCCTTTTAAGGTTAAGGCTCCTTAAGTTGTGGGTCGTGCATCCGCAATGCACATATAGTAGTAGTCGTCGTATAAGCATGTAGCCACCTCCACGGCCAGACTATAAAGGAGCGACATGTGCACACATTTTTTTTTAATTGAGGAGGAAACCCACGCATGTTTATCGTAAATAAAATAATTTTTTCGGATGAAATAACCTACAGAGGCGAGTATCGGTGACTTAATCTCCAATAAAATTTGCCTTCAATTTGATGCTTACTAAACAAAACTAGTATTAGAAGGGTGTCATTTGGGCCCTCTCTGACCAGTGAAGGTTGCACGTTGAACTCGCTAGGCGTAACCGCCTTGGTTTAAGCAAGGTTTTGCTAGGGTTGGGCCCCAGTGCCCTGAACTAGTGGCGGTGAAAAGGGAAAACAAGACACGAAGCGCAGACCGTAAGAAAGTGCATGCACCGTTCTTTTAGTCCGGCCGTGCCACCTCTCGTTTAGTCGTTGGAATGTCGGTACTTTTATATAATGAAACGATGCGATATGGTGGTACTTGCAGTGTTCACTAGATGGACGGACGGACGGAAAGACCCGCGGACGGAGAGACAGATATATGCACGGACGGATTAATGGAACGGATGGATGCATGGACGGACGGATGCACGTATAAATGCACGAAGGGATGGACGGATGCACGGAGGGGCGGACGGACGGATGGACGCACAGAGGGCTGAATGGACGCACAGATGGACGGACCCGTGGACGGGCGCACGAACAGACGCATGGATGGACGGATGGTCACACGGACGGACGGAAGTAAGAACGAACAGATGGGTGGAAGCATAGACAGACTGACGAATGCTTCACCCACTCACAGATCCGGACTGCGTGAATATCTTGTGATTTTTGTGTTACTATTGGAAGGGCGTAAAAAAACGTCCCGCGGGGACCCCATGCCAGATGGTCGGGAGCTCTTTTATCATGAGGTACCCTCGAGAGTCTCCAGACGCTCTGGTATGAGGGAACATTTCGAGATTTTTCCAAAAGAGAAGGAGGTATACAGGAGATACCGTACGCCGCGTTTTGTCAGTAGCATGTTTTATGACACGCAAATACCACCTACGGCATTTCATCTGACCCAAGCGGCGAACCAGATTAGCTTGGGTCGTAATGCAGCTGTCATAAAGTTGATCGCAATCAAGAAAACTGATGCGGATAGCCCTGATCGCGATTAAAAGTGCCCGTGTGACACCGGGCGCTTTTATACTATAACTTAAAACACACTAAATATAATTACATAATTGACAAAAATGGGACGTTAAACCCCACAAATCAATCAATCATAATTGACGAAAACGCTCATTTTTATTTCGTGAAATCATTATGATCTTTTCATTGACATGGCATGCTAATATGAGATTATGCATGCTTTGCATATATACGATAATTATTGAAGTGAACAAAAAAAATAAATGTCATAGTATGAAAGCGATGTCATGTCAAGATGGCGTGACACACATGCCCTCTTTTTAATGAAAGCAATGACGAATAAAAGGATCCGATACAGTTGCTTCATTGCCTGTGGCATATGTCAGTACACTGATGTAACGTGAGTTACATGCCATACCATATAAGCAATGATACCAACCGTATCGAAAGCGCTGCTGTTATAGAGCCTATGTAGCAAAAAATATGGTGTCTTCATCTGGAGCGTTCGATGCAAGTGACAAAACGGCGTTTTCCCTGAGCGAAAAAGTGATTGATTGATTTATACGTGGGGTTTAACGTCCCGAAAGCACCATATGATTACGATAAACGCCGCAGTTAGGAGCTCCGGGAATGTTAACCACCTGGATTTCCTTACAGTGCACTCAAATCTGAGCGCATGGGCCTACAAAATTTTCGCCTACTTCTCTTTCAAAAGTATTCACGCACACTTGAACTTGTTGACAAGCACGCTCCATGTTATTGCCACGTGTGTAACAACACACTCTTTTATCCACGTATATGATTTGTATTAAATGAACTGCAGCACAACAGACTGTTGGGCAAGTTGGCTATTGAGGATCACTGAAAAATGAGCGCTAAAAACCAACAAGCACAAAAAATAATAGCTGATAATGGACTGGTGCTGCTAATAAGTCTTTATTTCAATGACACCCACCATCTTGAAATACACATTTCCAGGGTATAGCGCATGCGCATCATTGCTTTGAAAACATAAATAAAAACATAACAAGTATAATACGAAGGGGAAGAAGAACAGCGTCGACTGGTCGCACAGGCGGTTGAAATGCTCAGCCTGTAAATTGTGGCTGAATAAAAGTCTATTACTAATTGATTGATTTGTGGGGTTTTAAAGTCTCAAAACCACCATATGATTATGAGAGACGCCGTAGTGGAGGGCTCCGGAAATTTCAACCACCTGTGGTTCTTTAACGTGCACCCAGATCTGAGCACACGGGCCTACAACATTTCCGCCTCCATCGGAAATGCAGCCGCCGCAGCCGGGATCCGAACCCGCGACCTGAGGGTCAGCAGCCGAGTACCTTAGCTACTAGACCTCCGCGGCGGGGCGAAAAGTCCATTGCTACTACTACAGAAAAGGAATATGCGATAGCACCTGCAATATAGCAAGGTGGAAGTTAAAGCGTTCCACGAGAAAAGAAGCTCTTCTGAAGAAATTGAAGTTCAGAAGCATAAAGAAAATCTAGGTCTCGCTTACACATGCTATGTTGTTCTTCTCGATAAAAAAATTCGGCAGATCACACGTACCTTTAAATCAATGTTATGCGAAGCTTGCGGAGGGAACGTGAATGTGTTGTAAATTTTAAATGCGAAGCATTTCTGAGCGAACTTCGGCGACTTTGAGCGTATCTATCTATCTATCTATCTATCTATCTATCTATCTATCTATCTAGCCGCCTACGACTTTAAGCTCTCCTGGCCATTTCGATAATGGTATCAATACTAAATTTGGCATGGCATAACACGATTGTATGAAAAATATATTTGACTAGTTGATTGATTGATTTGTGGGGTTTAACGTCCCAAAACCACCATATGATTATGAGAGACGCCGTAGTGGAGGGCTCCGAAAATTTCGACCACCTGGGGTTCTTTAGCGTGCGCCTAAATCTGAGCACATGGGCCTACAACATTTCCGCCTCCATCGGAAATGCAGCCGCCGCAGCCGGGAATTGAACCCGCGACCTGCGGGTCAGCAGCCGAGTACCTTAGCCATTAGACCACCACGGTGGGGCTATATTTGACTAGTCAGAACATTAAACTCATGACATGAATGTCACAATTTACATTTCATGGTCCTGCAGCTCTTGCGGTGGCTTCGTTCACATGACATGCTGCAAAACTCGTATGGTATGACATGATTGCATGGCAAACACAAGCGACAGACCCTAACTTGAAAATCGTGACATGCGTGTCATGTAGCAACATGGCTACATGTCATTCTCATGTTGCGCTCGCGGCCGTTTCGCTAGCGTCACATGTACCAAATTTAGTATTATGGTAGTGAATGAATGACGAAGGTATGCGACTGGTGCAAACATGATAATCATGAGTTGCGTATCATGTAACAACATGACTACATGCCACGCTCATGATGCGTTCGCGCTCGTTTCACTAGCTTCACTTGTACCAAATTTGGTATTACGGGACGTGAATAGATGACGAAGGTATGATACTCGTGCAAACATGATGAACATGAGATGCGTGTCATGTAACAACATGACTACATGCTACGCTCATGATGCGCCCGCGGCCGTTTTGCTAGCTTCATATATACCAAGCTCGGTATACGCAACGCAAACGGACGAGATAGGTAAATGACACATCCAACCATGATAATCACGACATGCGTGTGATATAACAACATGACTACATGCCACACTCACGATGCACTCGTGACCGTTTCGCTAGTTTCACATATGCCAAATTTTGTATTACTTGACGCCAATGAATGGACAAGGTATCTGACTTGTGCAAACATGACTATCATGAAATGCATGTCATGTGTGAACATGACCACATGCCACAATCAAGGCGCCAATACATTTCGACGTGACGCGGTGCGCGTGCTCGCCGGCGTTCATTTCGTCGCGTCACGCCGACGTTGCCTCGCCAGGTGGCAGTCCTGCCATATATATACTCGCAGGCGCGTGCTCATGGAGCGCTGCGTTGCTTTGACGCATGCGCGTTTCAGCGCGTTCGGGCATCCCTGCGTCACCAAAAAAGAGAGAGACGCAGTGTTGTCTGGGTAACGAATCGGCATAGAGTAATGTTACTCTATAACATCGGCGCGAAATGCAGCATGTCGCATTTCGTGCCGGTTGCCATCGGAGC